CTCTGATTGGACGGAGCTCTTAGCGGAGAGCGGGCGTGTCCGGGACCGCGGGAGAGCACGTGGCGGGCAGCGGGCCACGTGGTGGGGCCGGGCAGGGGGCAGCGGGGGGGGGGTGTAGGGGGCACCGGGAGGGCTCAGCAGCCCTGATGGAGCTGGGAGCTGGGAGCTGGCTTCCAGGCTGCTCAGGTACTAGAAGGGGGATGGGGGGGGAGGCCGGGGCTGCTGTTTTATTCGGGAGCTCCTAAATTATGGCGTTGGGGTCAGGGGTTCCAAAATTATGGGGTCGGAATCTGTCTTGCTCTGCCCGTGCCCCTCAGCCCCGATATTAACCCCCGCTCCGGCACCGACCCCTCTTCTGCGGCGCTGCGGCAGCACTAGTGTGAGTCCTGAAGCAGGAGTGTGAGCAGCTGCTGGCGTGATGCTTGCCTTGAAGGACCCCAACTGTGCTCCTATCCTTGGAGAAAAGTAAACTGCATCCGCACGATGGATGACACTGAATTTGTTCATTGGGAGATAATATTCCTGTGGGGTTTTATTTCAGTGCATGCAATATTGGGTGTAAATGGTCCTGGGCAGCCCCTGGCACTGCACCCCCGGTGTGGTATTACTGGAGTCCAGCTCTGTCCCCAGGGCACCAGGCTCACCCCCGTATTCCCTCTGCCCTTCCTGGGCTGCTGGAGAAAAGCCCCTGACCTGGGGGAGAAAACCTAAAGAAAAGAGGTGGGGACTGTGAATGAATGAAGTCGTATGTGGTGTGAAGAGATACCCCTGGATGCTCAGGGGGACCCGGGAATCTCTTGCCAGCCTGCAGACAGACTGACACCATAGGGAGGAATGGAGGTAAGGCAGGGGGACACTGCTAGCATCACTGTGTCTGTCACACGCACTTGTGGAATATGATCACTCAGACTCCCAACCTCCACGTGCTGCAGGAGCCACCTCTGAGTGCCCAGGGTGCCCCAAAGCCCCGTGTTAGCTCTGCAGCACAGCTCAGAGGGAGCCTCAGGGCCAAGGCAGGGCTGCAGCCATCTGCAGCATCAGCGTGGAGTAATGTGGCCAAAACAGGTTTAGCAGCTCCGATTGTGGCAAAAACGCTGTTTAGGTGGAGGAGGAGGGACCCCGAAAAGCAAAGGATCGCTCTTTGAGAAAGTGCACAGCCAGGAACCAGTGTGGCAGAAAGCAGTACAGTGCCTGGAAATGGTCTGGTGGCACCTGGCCCTGTGAGCCCAGCATTGGCTGGTGTTCCCCAGGGGATGTCCCCATAGTCATCTCATGAATGAACTCTCAAAAACCCGTGGCTGGAGAAAAGTGAACCAGACTGGGACACAAATTTGGGACCAGACATGCAGAGACAATGATTTTCACTGAGCTGAGAGCCATTCCCTCCGAGCAAACAAGTGCAGACCGTGCTGTCAGACCCTTATTTGATTTGTCTCCCCACGGCACTGCACCGTTTGCCTTCATTACTTTCTCTGTCCCTTACCATAGTCTTATCGTGGAGCATCTGTCCAATAAAAGGCCTGTTAATATAATTTATATCCAGTTGTCACTTTCTGCCTCACCCAGGAGAATGGGCTCCCTGGGTGCACCATGCCTTGGAAAAGCAGTTATCCTGAGTGGAAGAAGTGACATCCTAGCAGATTTTATTGCTACGTTCAGCTTTGGGAAGTTACATTTTGTGGTCTGCGTCCTGGGGTGGAGAGCTCGGGATGCCGTTTCCTCTAGAAAATCCCTTCTGAGAATGAAATGAGCTTCATCCTCAGAAAAGTGGTGAAAAAGCAAACTGCAGTGAGGTTACAGGAGGTGGGTGGTGTGGTGTTAGTGCAGCTTTGTGCTTCAGCCATAACCCTCTGAAGGATGTATTGAAGGAACGAACGAGCTGCAGGAGGATGGCACATGGGAGCAGACCATCCTGAAAGCACTCATGGGTGCTCCATAAGGAGGAACCAGTGGAAACCTGAATACTAGAAGGGAAACTGCAAGAGAAATTAAGTGTGGCCAAGTGCTGGTGGGGTCATTGTGCATGGGGACAGAGCTGAGCCAGTGGGGGAGCAGAAGAAGGGGTTTGCATTTCTCCCTTTGCTTTTTCTGGCTGTGCTGGCAGCTGTCAGGCAGCAAAGGAAAGATAATGAGAGAAATCTGCTCTGTGTCTCTGACAGCTTTCTCCAATGTGTCGCGTTCAATTGTCCCAACAGGAGAAGATGAAACTTCCCTGGCTGCCACAGCGAACACAAGGAGAAATGAAGCCCTGTAATTAAAGCTGCTATAACTGCTTGGCAGCAGGGCCAGCTCTTGGGTTCTTGCTTGGCTTTGGTGCCTTGGCTGTCCAAAATGTATAGAAAATTAGATGAGTTTTATCTTTTTCTAGTCTGAACATCACAGCCTTCCTTTTCACAGTGCAAGGTGCTCCATCCTGCCTGGGCCTTCCTGAGCTCTTGAACAATGTCAGTGACTGTGATGGACTTTTTTGGAGGGGTCCATGGGCAAGACCATGTGGCCTTAGAGGGTACAACGCGCCCGTCACAGAGCTACTTTACCATTCACACGCCAAGAGGAAGGCAGGAAATACACAGAGGACCAAGGCACCCATGTCTCTTGTCCCCACCCAGGTGAGCATCACCACCCCACCTTGAAGATAACACTCCCCTTGGCCCCAGATGGCTGCCCCACATGCTACCATGCCATCTCTCATCCATGCTAATTGTGCATCACTTTCCTTTCTTAACCAAACTATCCCCATAAACCAAAGCAGGTGCTGCTGGGACATCAGTTCCATCGTCCTTACCATGTTGCAGCAGGAACAGGTGCAAGTGATGCTTGGCTGCTGGTGGCCAATCGTCCCTGCACACAGCTGCAGGGCTGGGAAGGGATCTGAGGTCCCTCTGTGCTTCCCACGGCCCTGCTGGGAGGAATGGGATCCGAGCATATCTCTGACACTGATGCTCCATCTCCATTTGCACAGCCCTAGTCCTAGATCCAGCCACAAGGGCTTTGCAAACACTGTCCATGTGAGCTTTCCCCCACCCACAGTCATGTGAAGCAAGCAAAAACCACCACCCCCCTCTGCTTTTGGGGAGGGGTGGTGAAGAATCTGCTGGCATTCCCAGTGCCATCCATCACAGCTCCAACCGTCTGGGAAAACTGCTGTAAAACTGAGTTTTGGCTCTGTCAAGGAAAGAAAAAAAGCCATGGCCGTTGCAAACAACCCCGGCACAAAAAGCCTTACAAGGCTGGGGCAGCCTCACAGATGGATTTCTTTTTAATCCCCAAGCGAAGGTGATAAATCTTTGAATTGGAGGCACCATCAAGGGGTGCTGCACGGCCAGGGGGATTTGCTGTGCCGCGGTGTGAGCACGTGGGGTTTGGCCACAGCGGGTTCCAATGGGATCGGCTGCTGGGAAGGCACTGCTGTAAATCTCAGAGGACAGATGACAACTTTTGAGAAGCAGCTCTTGGGAAATGAACCATTTGGAGAGAAGGTGGCGGTGCAGAGCTTGAGCCAGGCACGTGCTCCGAACTGTGGGGACAGAGAGAAATGTCCCCCAGCTCAGAGCAAACCCATTGCAGGCGTTGTTTTGGAGACCTTCTAGCACAGTGTCCATCCTGCCACAGGGGACATCTGATCATGCCATGGCTGATGGCATGGCTGGGAGATGTGGGGGTGCCTACACAGCCCCAAACCCTGACCCCATCATTCATCCATGGCTTGTCCCAGCCATCACCTCTGTGCATAGTCCCCAGCAGGGGTAATCCCTCTGATTCATCCTGCAGGAGCACCTTATCACCAGCCACATATCTGTGCAACACATACAAGCACTTGACCAAGCCTGCAGCAGGGATGGTGACATGGAGCCACAGGGTTGTCCCCATGTGCTGTCCCAAAACAGTGGCTGGAGGAGTTGAGGTTTGCCCTCAGATTCTCTTTGGGGTGATCATAAACAAATCTCTGAACAGCCCCAGCATCAGCACCTGATACACACTGCTGGACCATCACCACCAGCTTCCCCTCCTGCATCTCAAAGAGCAAACTGAGCAGCCAAGAAGAGGCGGTGGAGACACATGGAGCATGGCTGTGCCAGGGGACAGCTGGGGACATAACCCCAGGGGGGGTCACCTTCTGCTGTCCCTTGGCCAAGGTGTTTAGTCCCCTGACTTCCCTGCTGCCCCAAGGTGGGGCATGACGGACCTGAAACTCCGCTTGCTGTTGCTGCGCAATAGAATGCTATTGACTGCCAATTAAAAAGCCATTCCCCAGAGGTTCCCATCTGGGGAAGTGACCTTATGAGGCATAATGGGGCAATAACAGCCATCAAGGAGGCATCCGTCACCTCCGCCCGTGGCTGCCTGGGACTGGGAGCGATAGGAGATAGAGAGGGGAGAAAATGGAGATCGATGCACTTTGCCATGTTGACGTGATCTGGAGAGCAGCTGAGAGGATCCTGAAGGGCAGAGGTTAATGCAGCCCCACATTCATCTGCACAACAGGATCCCAAAGGGAAACACTTTGCTAATGGGACAGGGGCTGTGAGCTGGGGCTGGGTCAGCGGGACACAGGAGGGAGTTTTATGAGCACACATCCTGGCTGGGGGAAAACTGGGGTTACCTGCTCTGGTAGCCATGGGGAGGCAGTTTGGAGTGCTGATATTCCATCCCATGGGAGGATCCTGTGCGCACCAGGATGGCAGCAGCATTGATCCCAGACAGCAAATCGATCAGCCCCTCCAGCCGGGGGGAGCCAGCCTGCCTGCCCACCTGCTGTGGCATTTTGTGACATTTTCCCAGCAGCGTGTCTGGGGATAGATTGATCATCTCCATTCCAGGGGCGGCCCCATGCATCGTGTGTCCCTCTCGCACCTTCCCTACCTCAAGTGAGCAAAGACCCTCGAGAGCCATCAAAGCATGGTGGCACGTTTTGGGGTGCCTTTAGGGGCAGGAGCTGCCATCATCACCTTCCCCGGCAAATTTATTGCACAAAGATGTGTGGATATGCAGGAAGGGGATGAAGGGACGGTGCCTATTACTGTTGTCAGCACGTGGGAGGATAGCGGGGTAGTGGGGACAGGTCTGAGTCCCAGGGAATGCAATTAGGGCACAAATTGAGGAAGAATGGCTCTGATTTGTGATTCTTGGGTGAGGAACAGCTCATGCAGGGTGGGGATGAGGGGGGCCTTGTGACACCATGATGTCCTGGCTTTGTCTGGCCCCAGTGATGAGTGCAGAGGATGCAATGCAACCTGGTCATAGTGAGGCAAGGGATGGTCTCCATATCCCTGGAGCAGCCAAGAGAAGCAGCCTGGCAGCACACCTGGAGAAGTAGCCCTGCTCCTGCTGGAACAGCACGGTGATGCACGGCCCCATCGCTTCCCTCCATCCTGCAGATGGATGCTGTGGTGATGGTGATGCCAATGCTGATGGTGGGGAAGCTGTTTTGGTTCCTCCATGTCCTCTTGCTATTCAGCAGAGGGATGTGGCATGCGTGACAGCCTGGCCACCCTCCATCTCCTCCATCTCCTCCATCTCCTCCATCTCCTTCATTTCCACCATCTCGTACTCCTCAGCATCAGAGAGGGGCAGCCCATTGGCACTGGGCATGGGCTCACACTCAGTGCTACGGGTGGTGGCATGGGTGACGCTGGGTGAGTGCTTGCATGAGCCCGGCGGGTGCTGGCCGGGGTGACACATCACCTCCTTGAACATCTCACGGAAGCGGGTGGACATCAGGTTGTAGAGGATGGGGTTGGCGGCCGAGCTCAGGTAGAAGAAGATGCCTGAAATGATGTGGACGTACTGGAACATGTGGAGCATGGGGCCAGTCCAGGTGGAGATGAAGCTCCAGACGAGACGATCGGTGTGGAAGGGGGCCCAGCAGATCCCAAACACCACCACCAGCACGACTGCAGAGTCAGGGGCTGTTGTTAGTGGGGTATGGTGCTCAACATCCCAATGCCCTTTTTTGCCTCCATACTTGGTGCCCCAATGCTGGGGAGGCAGTCAGGGGCTGCTGGGGGAAGGGACAGGGAAGGGAGAGTAGTGGGACAGAGGGTGCTTTGGTCAAGCCTCAGGTCAGAGCCTCATGGCCATGGGATGGAGTAGGATTGGAGTCAACCACAACCCCGAGGTTGTAGGGCACAATAATCTGGTCTAGGGGAGGGAAAGATCCACTGCCCCAGCCTTGTCCCTTTCCTTTTCTTACCCAGGGCTCTCCTGGGTGAGCCACCACAAACAGACCCCACTGCTGGACCACAGCCACCAGCTCTGCCTTTGCCCCCACAGCCTTCCTCCAGGACGACCAAGTGTTATGTGTATATCTAGAGAAAACCCGTGACACCAAGGATTACCGAGACCCCACTTTCCTCCCAGCACCCTTCCAACACCCCAATTGGCTTTGCCTGTCCCCAGTCTCAGACTCACACAGCATCTTCGTGACCTGCCTCCTCTTCACCTTCTTCTGTCCCTGGACTCTGTGATAGTCATTGTCACCACTGGACTTGGCCCCCAGGGCCTCCAGCATCTTCTCTTTCTTGAGCTGCAGGCCGATAAGCAGGTAGAGGATGCTGATGGTCCCCATGGGCAGGAAGAAGAAGACGATGGTGGTGATCTGGATGATGAGATTGTAGGTCAAGCGTGGCTTCACCAGGGTGCAGATCTCCGAATCAGGCACGCGGCCCCGGCCAGGCACATAGAGAGGTTGCAGCCCATGGATGCTGGTGTTGGGGATGGAGCAGATGACTGACACCACCCAGATGGTGATGATGACCCTCTTGGCATGGTTCCTGGTCACCACATACTTAGCTTTGAGTGGGTGCACCACGGCAATGTAGCGCTCCACGCTCAGGGCGGTGACGTTGAGGATGGAAGCGAAGCAGACGGCCTCAAAGAGCAACGTCTTGAAGTAACAGCCCCCAGCCCCCAGCAGGAAGGGGTAATTGCTCCACATGTCATACAGCTCCAGCGGCATTCCCAGCAGCAGCACCAGCAGGTCAGACACAGCCAGACTGAACAGGTAGTAATTCGTGGGTGTCCTCATGAAGCGGTGCTGGAGGATGACGATGCAGGTGAGTGTGTTGCCCACTGCCCCCACAGCAAAGATCAGCAGGTAGATCACGCAGACAGGGATGAAGAAGTTGGATCTCCGAGGCCCTAAGTATTTATGTCGCAGCTGCTCCTCCGTCAGGTTGGCATCTTTGGGGTCGAATAAAGCGTCAGGGTGAGTCCTGTTGCAGAGGTCGGGGCTGGGGGGCTCCATGGGGAAGTCTTGCTGGGACAGGGGGAGCTCAGGGCTGAAGCAGTTGATGTAAGGATTCATGGCTACGGGAGACGTGGCAGTTCACCGGGTGTTCTCCCAAACCCTCTGCTGCTCCTGAGCCCAATCCTCTCTTCCCATCAGGGTTACAAGACTGCCAATCACCACAGCTCAGCACCCCCATCCTGCCCCAGCCAAAGCTTTTCCTTTGGGAAAGCACCCATAATTTTCCAAAGCTCCCCCTATAGGAACCCCATGCTCCCCTTACCCCGTTTTCCATCTACAAACAGTCCTGGCGGCTCCCTGACCCACAGTGGCCCCTTCATCCCACCTGTGGGGACACCGTGGCAGGACTGTCCCCTCTCCTCTTATCCCACAGGACACAGCCCCAAAGCCAACCCCAGACTGCGCCATGCATTGCCCCAGCTCTCCATGCAGAGGGGCTGAGAGGTAAAATAGCCGAGGGGAAAATTAATCTTCCTCTCCAGGAAGGACTTACGTCTCGCTGGGAAGCTCCGGATGCAGGATAAGGTCCCAGTACCCCTATATCAGACGGGATTGGACGGGGAGGGATCAAAGGAGGGGATGGAGACGTCGCTGCCTTAAGAGGCAGGAGAAAGGAATCCTGCTTTCCACTTGGAGCTCCGCTCTCGGCAGCCCGCTGCCCCTCTCCGCTGCTCTCCTCCGTCAGCGAGGGGCTCCCGGGGGGCTTCCTCCCGTCCCCAAACCCAGATCCCAGACCGGGGGCTGGAACCTCGCCGGCAAAGTGGCACAGCGGAGGAGATGCTCTTCAGGAGGGGAGAGGAAATACGTTAAAGTCATAAACTCCATTGACTCGAGAGAGTCCCGGGGGAGGGCAGCACGGCCGTCTCCATCCCCACCAGCAGCCTTCACAACGCGCTGATTTGCCATTTGCGTAGCGAAGGAGGCATCGATCAGCGCTGCTCTGCCGACACTAGCGGGCGCGGGGGCCGGAGTTGGACGGAATTCTGCAGGGAGGGCGCAGAAGGAGCCGGCGGCTGCTCGAGGTCTCCGGGCTCCCAGATGTGCAACCCCTGGGTCCTCCCCGTCGCCGGCTGCCCGAGCTGGAGCCCATCGCCGCTGCGATCGCGGCATCACCTCTCGCCGTGCACCGGGCTCGGATCCCTCCCGCTGCCTGACCGTCCATCTGTCTGTCTATCTGTGAGCCTGTCTGTTTGTCCATCTGTCTGTCTATCAGTCTGCCTGTCCTCTGCACTGATCAGCCCCCACCGGCTGCAGGGTAACAACCCCGCTCTGCAGGCATGTGCACACGTGCACACGCACACCCCCCCCACATCCCCTGCGCTCACATGTCCCAGTGCACCGTGACAAGCTGCTCCTCTCCCCCCGCAGCCCCTCTCTCTCCAAAAACATGTGCCTTCCTTTTCTTTTCTTTTCTTTTCTTTTCTTTTCTTTTCTTTTCTTTTCT